TATTTTCAAATCGCTCCGCCATGCCTTAATTGCTTGGTGTGGCAAGGCATGCATTCCGTCCAGAGTTCGTCACAGATTATTGCATCCATCAGATTCCCATCTCTTCTCGGAAACTGAGGTGAAGGAAATCCGAGGACTCTTCAGCACATGGCTGGAGTCCCAAGGTTGCAACTCCATTGATTGGCAGGTGAAGGATGGTCAGCCATACTGCTTACATTCTCTGGCTGCATTGTCCTCAGCTCTTAAAGATGCTGATATGACTCTCTTCAGTGCATTGCTCAGTGGAGTTCCTACTGGCTTCAAAAACGATATCCCCATTTCAGGTGTTTTCGCTCCATCTGGTCGCTCAGCTTCAGATGATGCATTAACGGTCTGCCAGGAAAACTGGCAGGGGGCTGAGGACGACCCAGTCCTCCTTGAGGAGCTAGTGCAGATCGAGGTGGACAAAGGCTGGTTACGGTGCATTGAGTCTTTGGAAGCTGCACGCCAGATCTGGCCCAATGTTGCTGTTGGTAAGTTGAATATTGTACATTCCGAGGGCAGAAAACCTCGCTTGGTGGTTGATTCTTCCATTTGTGGTACAAATGCCTGCTGCCTCATTCCTGAGCGCTCTGCATTGCCTACATTACAAACTATCCAAGCCTCTTGGCCATTGCGGGGGAAGCTCGAACCTTTGGCAGCTTGGTCCATTGACGTTCAGGCAGCACACAAGTCCATTATGGTGCGAGAATCTGAACAGGGGCTACTTGGCATTCGAGTCGGTCCCAAGCTCTATTTCTATACAGTTTGTCCATTCGGTGCAGCTTTTTCTGCCTTCTGGTTTGCTCGTCTTGGTGCATTTTTCGTTCGCACACTTCATCGCCTGATTTTCATTGCCCACTGGCTGGCAATGTATGTGGACGACTTACTTGGCTTTCAATCTGCATCAGTTGCAGAGATGAGCTTTTGCATTACTCTATGTTTCTGTGGGGCCTTTTCCATCCCCTTATCATGGAAGAAATTACAGTTTGGATGTTCCATTCGGTGGATAGGATGGGAACTCAATTTCAGTATGGGCTGTGTTTGCATCCCATCTGACAAGCTTGAAAGGTTGCATTCGGTTATCGTGTCAGCGCTCCGTGGCAAGTACACTGACCGGGCTACATTGAGCAAGTTGTGTGGCATGTTGCAATGGCTTTTCAAACTTTTTTCCATTGGCTAGGCCATGGCTGAGGTCTCTTTATCAGGACCTAAACACTCCACGTGCAACCAACTTCAGTGTTCGACAGAACGACTGGCAATCATTCATTTCTTGCTTGAACGACACTTTATATTTGGTCAAGTTACCTCCTGGAGCCGCGGTTACGGTTGGCAGCCGTGTTCTTGCTGTGAGGCATCACAAGGTTGCCACCAAGCGCGAACTTTTACATTGCAACCTGGGGGATAAGGATATCTGGCTTCGCATTGCGGACTCTGCCTCCAAACGTCGTGCATTGAGTCCATCCTCCAGAAGTCTGTTGCAGTTCTGGCTTGATTGGTCTGCATTGCCTCCAATTTGGCGATCGCTTCGCCCTATGGAGCATTTACAGGTGGAGGCAGCAGTTGATGCCATGGGCAACGGCCGCACTTTCGCTATAGGCGGCTACATTGCTTTACCAGGTGGTGAATTTTGGTTTTCAGAATGCTTTAGTGTGGAGGATTTTGCATTCGCAGAGCTTCCATTGAAATCCGAGGCGCACAAGGACATTACATGTTACGAGTGCCTCGGTCAGATTGCATTAGTTTGGCTTTTGAGTGCTTTAAGCCCAGGATGCAAACTTTCACTTCGCATGCATTCCTGGTGTGACAACAGTGGGGCTGAAGCCACTGCCAACAAGCTGTTCACTACATCCTGGCCTCTAGCTGCATTTGTGCAGCGTCTGGCTATCCTAAGCAGTTTTACTGGCATCCACTTGGATGTACATCACATTGCAGGCCCAAAGAACACTGAGGCGGACTTTTTGAGTCGCTGGCTTCCACCAGCTGCTTTGCCGGCTCGGTGGAGCCTCTCACGACGACGTCGAATTTCTTTAAAGGCACTTTGGAATGCCTCTCCTTCCATTTCGATTTCGCCTCCATCTTGGAAGCCGCCTTTCAGCATTCCGAGTAGCTCTCCTTTAGGAGCAGCACTCTAATCACCTTGTCGCACGTTTTTCATTTGGGGAATTGATGCGCGACTTCGGTTCTCTGGCAGATTGCATTTGGGGGAAAACATGCAGACCCTTTCACCGGCAGCTTCCTGCTGCTGAAGCTCGGATCTGCATTTCCCGCCAGAGAACAAAAGGAGCGAGTTTGTGCGAGTGACTGCATCAATTCCCCTTTTATACATTCCTTGCTTTATATGTATACATTTTTACATATAAAGCTGCATATAGGAAGCAGCTGCGAATACATTAACCGAACGGTATGTGTGCTTGCTCACGAGTGTTTGGTAATGTTTTGCATGCTTGCTGCACCCATGACATTCCATGTGCATTGCAGCAAGCAGGCTCGCAGCTGCCAGCTCGCCTGCATAGCGGGCAAAACTTTTGTCCCACCCACCTCTTCCCTTTTCTGGGTGCGAGTGCTGGCGCCTGCACTCTTACACTTTCTTCTACTGGCTTGCATTTGCATTCGGTTGCCTTTTTCTGCGGTCTGTCCTTTACAAGGATCGGTCCATTTGCATTCCCTCTCTCCATGGCAGGTCGGTGCCTTTTGATGCACCTAGATCCCATCTGGGGAGGGGGAAAACATGCAGACCCTTTCACCGGCAGCTTCCTGCTGCTGAAGCTCGGATCTGCATTTCCCGCCAGAGAACAAAAGGAGCGAGTTTGTGCGAGTGACTGCATCAATTCCCCTTTTATACATTCCTTGCTTTATATGTATACATTTTTACATATAAAGCTGCATATAGGAAGCAGCTGCGAATACATTAACCGAACCGAAAAGATTTGCCATGCGCGCGGCCTTCGCAGAGGGGGAGCTTGAAAGACGCGCTGAGAGCTGCGTTGCCTGATCAGCAGGAGATCGCTCTGGCGCAGCTCTACGAGGACATTTGGGCTCGTAGCAACTTGGCGTCCGGTGATGCTCGTTGGCGAACATGGACGCAAATCTGCGGGGCCTGGAAAGTTGAAGCTCTGCCTCTCACCCGGGGTGTAATTGAGAAAGTGTCGGCATCCTTGAAAAGTGGTGGCTATCGCAGCGCTAGACAATACTTCTCACAAGCTCGTCGTCAACACGTGCTTCACACTGGACAGCGAGTTCCTGCTGATGTGGAACTGTGCATCCGGGACATGACGAGGAGCCTCGAAAGAGGCCTTGGCGGCCCAGCTCTCAAGGACGCGTTTCGACTAGAGTTGCTCGACCTCCCCTACCCAGATGAGGATGTGCCTGTCATTGTGCGTACGCAATCTACTGTGGTTGTGCTAGGATGCTGGTTCCTTCTGCGTGAGATTGAAGTGGCGGCCCTCAGAGTTAAGTACTTCGTGGTTGACGAGAAGTTGATGACCGTGAGCCTCACGCTGCAGTCCAGCAAGAACGACCAGCAGGGCAGCTTGGTGATTCGATGCCACTCGTGCTATTGCCATGTGATGCAAGCTAACCTTTGCCCTTTCCACATCGCAAAGGCATACCTAAGCATTGCGCCCCAGGACCCAGAAGCTCCTGTGTTCACCAAGAGCGAAGGGAGTGTCTTGACGAAGGAGGAGTCCGTGAACATGATCCGAGCTGTGCTGGCAAAGAGCGAAGTTGAACTTACTCGTGCAGGAGTAGACGGTGATGTGCAGCGCTTTGGAGGCCATGCTCTTCGAGTGAGTGGAGCTCAATTCCTTTCTCGTTGTGGCATACCCCTTCCCACCATCATGCTTATCGGCAGGTGGGGATCTCGCAGTGTGGAGCGATACGTTCAAGACGCAGCCCTCGACGCCTTCACAGTGAGCCCTCCTCCTGGAGTGAGTCCCAAACGACAAAATCGGTGCCCGTCCTTCCTGCAGTCCAAGAACGAGACCAACAAGCCTTTGGGGACGTCTTCGGTGCCGACGCCTTTGCCCACTGAGGAGCCACAGGACACGTCTGATCGAGACTTGGAAGCGCAGATCGAGAAAGTCAACAAGATGCTGAGCGACTTGTCGATAAAGGTGGAGAAGCTTCAGCAGCGCCCGGACCTTGTGATTGGTCAGAAAGCTCACGCGAGAGATCCGAACGAGGTCACGCTGTTGCCTCGCATGTGGAGAGCACGCTGTGGCTGGCCGTACGGCGGATCGTCCTTTCGCCGAGCAGATCTGGACACGCCCGTCCGGAAGTGCAAGAAGTGTTTCCCTGAAAGCTCGTGCCAAGAGCTTGAGTCAATGCATGACTCGGTTTCGGGGTCGGAAACAGAAGTGTCTTCCAGCTGCTCCAGTGACTCCAGTGGTGAGCGCGAGTCGGGCATGCCGCCCGCCAATTGAGCTTTGACTTGTTGTTGAACAAGCAAAATGCCATGTGCGCGTTCTTGAAGTGGGACGCAGAAGTGCAGCTGTCAAGGCACCGGGCCAAGGTGCAGATTGGCGCGCCTTGCAACAATTACAACTATTAGAGTGACGTCCGGCAGAGGCCTCAAGTTGCGCAAAGCACATCGTCCCGAAGTGAGTGCATGCAAGTAGAGTAGGTAAAAGAAGTTGCGTGCGTCGTGTTGGTCTTGTGCGTTTGTTGCTGCTGCAGTTTCTTGACGTTGTTAGTCTTGCAGGAATGTTGATGCAGCAGTGCAGTCTCTGGACGTAGGTCTTCGCTGTGCGACACTGTGTTGAGAGTCGAGAGTGCAGTCGCGGGGAGCCTGCGTGCAGTCATACCCAGCTGTCCTGCACGTGTTTACTGGCAGATGTTGCGTTCTGTGGCTGCGTTGTGAGCTGTGAGAATTTGCTTGTCAGGACGTTGCGTTGAGCTGGGAGCCGATGGATCCTGGTCCGACGAGCCGATTGGTTCTCTAGACGCGAGTGTAAGCTATCTTTGCCTGACCTTAGCGTGCCATGGCCAAGTCCGACCCGGAGTTGGTGAAGCTGCTCAAGGAGTCGGGCCTCGACGACAAGCTTGTTGACTACGTCGCTGCCAGGGACATACGGAGCAGAGACATCTTTGCTTCAATCGCAACCTCCGTGCAGGAAGTCGATGCAGTTTTGATGGAGCCTCTGGTCGCGGGGTTCAAGATGCCACAGGGTGAGTCGTTGAAGCTTGATGCGCTTCAGTTGCCAATCGTCCGGGCCAAATTCCGCTATGTTTGGCGGAAGTGTTCAGAAGCAACGTGCGTGCCAAGCACTCCTGCGGCAGCTGCTTTGCCGCTTTCTGCTCCAGCAAGCAAGTCCACTAAAGAATTGCAGCCAGGCTACTGGCAGACACAGGTCGCAAAGTACGAGGCGATCAAGATTGGGGGCGAGTTCCGCAGGTTCCCCCAAGAGTACTTATTGGGAACGGAGCCCGTCCTTGCGCGCATTGTCAATGAGATGAAATCGCTGTCGCACACATCGGTGGCATTGCATGAACTGGTTCAGAACCGATTCTTCAGCAGAGGCGGCGAGCCAAACCCGCTCTGTCCAGCGAAGAAGCGGGCCAAGACTTCAACCGCTGTCCTGACGATCAACCAGGACAATCAACTGGAGACAGCTCCCGACGCGCAGTGGAGCCCGAAGTCTGTGATATCATTCCTGGATTGCCTGGAGGCGATTCGCTTTGCGTTCATACTGGTAGAGATTGGGCCGGAACCAGCGGTCTGCCGGTACATTGACTGGTGGGAGAAACAGGTTCGGGCGAGGCAACATCGTTTGGAGCAGTTGAAAATCTTCTGGGACATCGCTGCTTGGCGCATTGCAATGGCATTGCGGAGCAAGATCGACTTCGCAACCGTGACGTTCGAGATGATCAACGACAATCAGGCGCTCCAGGACGCATTGAACCGCGAGGTTGCGACGGAGAAGTTCCCCAAACCCCCCAAGCATGATGCCTTTCGTTTGGACCAGGCGCGAGCAGGCAAAGGCAAAGGAAAGCACGGAAAGGATCGGAAGCGAGCATGGGATGATAGCTACGAGCGGCGCTGGAGTGATCGCCGTTGGGATGACTCCCGCTACGTGCCCTACAAATCTCAGTGGGAGCACAACTATGCCGATCGTCAGCATGACAAGTACCAGCGTGCCAGCGGAGCTCATGCCGACCAGCAGCAAGCAAGGGGGTAGGGACAGCGCGGGCCGCCTGCTGAGAACTTCTCAATGGGTGGACCCGGCCAGTGCGAACACCGTCAGCGTGCAGAAGTCATGCCGAGCACCTGGTCAGGTTCAACCTCCCCGCGTTCAAAGGACAGAGACAGCACTCCTCTACGGCTCGTCTCAGCAGAGCAAGTTGCGAGGCGCAGAAATCAACAAGAAGCATGTGCACCGGATCTAATTTTGTTGAGCTTCTTCGATGGCATTGCGTCAGCAGCTCTGTTGTGCCAACAGATCTGCGAAGACAGGAAGTGGCAATGGCAAGCAGTGCTTTGGGAATCCAACCCAGAGCTGCGCAAGCTCGCTTCCGCCAAATTCCCCAGCGCAGTGGTCAAAGAAGACGTCGACAAAGAGACGCCCGACAGCATCATCGCTTTTCTCGAGCAGATCGACCCTGGTGCCCAAGCGCTTGTGATCATTGCAGCAGGGCCGCCTTGTCCTGACTATAGTCGAGTTCGCGAAAATGCACCTGGCACATCTGGTCCTGAAGGTTCAAAGTTTGTGCGCTTCGCAGAGCTGATAAAGTCTTTAGAGAAGAAGTGGCGGTATGCGCAGTGTGTCTTGCTCGTTGAAAACGTGGTGCCAGCTAACAAAGAAGATGTGCGAAGGTTGGGGCGTGCGCTGTCAGCGCAGGCTGTCATGCACGATGCGGGCGACTTTGGTTTGGTCACCAGGCCGAGATTGTGGTGGACTCGGATCCCATGGCAGGAACTATCTCACCGCAATGATTGCCCTTTCACAATGAGGTGGTCCACGTACCAGGGTCTTCCACGTGTGCACTTCAACGTTCCGCTCGACAGACCAGACGACCTTGACATTGGAGACCTCCGGTGGCCGCAGTGCGTCATGGACGACAAGAAGCCGTTGCCTTGCCTGACTACACCGTCCGAGGACCCGAAAGGACGCCCAGCGCCTCGGTCTTGCAAGGGGAGGACGTCCTCCGATGCGCAACAACGATGGCTGCAGGACGGGCGCCAGTATGCCCCCTGGCACTACGATGCCGCCAACATGTTCCGGAGTCCCGACAAGTTCATGCTTGCCCCAGCTGTGGTCAAAGAACAACTTCATCAGGTACCTCGAGGTTGGACCGCCAGCTTGCAAGGAGCGGAACGACATCGAGCATTGGCCAACGGATGGAACCTTGGAGCAGCGAGATTGTTCCTCGTGCTAGGGATCCTTACCGCGATGCCCCCGCCTGTGCCAGCGAAAGAGTTGAGTCCATTGGGTGGAAATGCTGTCGATGCCATGGCAAAGCTGTGGGAGACAAAGTCGTTACTGAACGGACCAGGCGTGCCATTGTCAGATGATGCAATGGACCTCTCAGCCATTCTCGATCCGGAGGAGCATTGGAGTGCGGCGCATAGTGTTCTCCATCAGAATCAGTCGTCCCCGCAACTAGAACCCGGCCTTCTGCAATGGTTGCCTCTGTGGAAACACTGGAGGAAGTTTGTCTCCGAGATGCGATATGCCGTGGCCGCCGAAGTCGAGCAGCTTGTCGCCGACCTCGATGACGAGATTCAGCAGTGGTACTTCAGTCTCAAGCCGCACGTGAAGAAAGCCTACGCTGCCAAAGACGACACGTGTTCTGTGAAAGTTCCGGTTGTTAAGAAGTTGGCATCCGTCTTCGGATGGCAGGACATGGAGATCTTTGACGAGCTGACGGAAGGCTTTCCTCTCCTTGGAGATCTGCGACCTGGTTTAGGGTGGCGTCTTCGCAGCGACTCCCGATACAGTGAGCCGCTTCCCATGTGCGACTTCTTGAAGGAGAACCTAGCCGTCGTACAGCATAAACTGCGGCAGCAACGAGTAGACCCGGCTTGGAAGGTCATGGCAGCCGAGATTGCTGCCGACGGGCGCATGGAAGGCCCTTTCGAAGCGCCGTCGTGTTGGGGGAAGTCCATGGTCGCTTTGGCAGATTACCAGCGCACAAGAGAGCTCTTACCAGGTCCTTGCCAACATGTGCCTTGTTGTTTCGCTTTTGCAGTGCATCAGGTCGGATCAGATGGAAAGCCCAAAGTCAGGCGTGCTGAGGATTGGAAGAGATCTCTGGCAAATTCCACTGTCGGTGTAGAGGACAGCCCAGCGTACCACGACGTTTCTGCGTTTGTCAAGTTGGCCAGAGCGTTTCGCCATGCGGGTGTGTGCGACAAGCTTTTGTTGTGGGGGCTGGACCACGAGTCAGCGTACCGGCAGCTGCCTGCCGCCGAGCCAGAGCACACCTACGTCATCCTTAACACACCGAGTGGACCGACGCTGTGGCGCCATAACGTTCTCATGTTCGGAAGCACAGCGTCAGTGTGGTCCTACTGTCGTGTTGCTGATTTGATGGCGTGGATCAATAGGTGCATGCTCTTGGCGCCTGCCCTGCACTTCGTCGACGACTTCGGTTCATGCGAGCCCTCTGACACAGCCAAGAGTGCCTTCGAGACTTCCCAGAAGCTCTGCCGCGCACTGGGCCTGAAGTTCAAAGAGTGCAAAGCACAGGCTCCCGCGTCGAAGCACGTCATTCAGGGTGTGCAAATTTGCCTCAACGAAGATGAGGCTGTGCTTTCGTGTACGCAAGCTCGGAAAGACAGAATGGAGTCGAGCTTGGTGCAACTCGTGCTCGACAACCGCTTAAAGCCGTCCGAAGCGTCAACCTTGGCGGGAAAACTGCACTTCTTGGCCTCGTCCTTGTTCGGCAAGTCCAGTGCAGCTGCAATTCGACCGTTCCACCAGCGAGCTCAGACAAGGGCAAGTGCAGATTATAAGCAAGGGTGGACTCTGAACCAAGCCTTGTGCGATGCAATTGCTTTCCTGCGGTATAGCTTCGCGAAGAACGTGCCACGTGTCATTAAGTTCTTTGTGCAGGGCAGGTCCGTCATCTATGCCGACGCGTTCTTCCAGCTCGGGGATGAGCGCTTCAGCTTCCGCAACATGGATGATGCGCCGGATTGGGGCCGGACGCCGCCTGCAGCATTTGCCAATGGTTGGGGGTTCGTGGCGACTTCAGGGTCGCAGACTTGGTACGCAATGGGTACTGTGCCGTTTTGGTTTGCACGTCACTTTTGTTCGCGAAGAGCATATATCTACATGCTGGAGATCATTGCACAAGTCCTGCCGCTCTATGCACTCACCAGTCAGCTCCATCGTGATGTCATCCTCTTCGTCGATAACGAGCCTGCTCGCCATGCGCTAGTTAAAGGCTACAGCAGAGACAGCAACGCCAACAAGCTTTTGCAGACTGCCTGGTGCTGCTTCGAGGCCAATCGATATCAGCCGCAGTGGCAGCGAGTAGCTAGCTCGGCCAACATTAGTGATGCAGTCAGTCGCCAAGATGATTCGTTTGCCAAGAGTTCGGGATGGACCCTCTTCAAGGCAGACTGGGACACCGTCTTCGACGAGCTGCTGCGACGTTGCATGGATGGACCTCTGAGGGGCTCTGACAGGGCTTAGGTGCGCGAGACTTGATGGGGTTACAGGCGGCGCACCTATGGTGTTCGCGCCCGACGACAGCCGCCCTTGGTGCGGACTGGACAGTCAGGACGCCAAACGCCGCCTGCCACTTTCATGCCAAAAGTTTGGGCCTGCACTCGGGTGTTTTTGTGCATAGTGAGATGTCGTGGGGTGCATAGCTTGCACGAACTGACATGTTCGAGCGACGCACTGCCGCAGTCGCGTTGCTCGCAATCCCAAAAAATTTCGAAGCCGCCCTCGCCGCCCTAAGTGTGGTGGGGTGTTCGCGCCCGACGACAGCCGCCCTTGGTGCGGACTGGACAGTCAGGACGCCAAACGCCGCCTGCCACTTTCATGCCAAAAGTTTGGGCCTGCACTCGGGTGTTTTTGTGCATAGTGAGATGTCGGTTCTGTCCGGAGTTCTTCGTGAACTTCAACACAAGCGGGGGGGCATCGCTCGAGGCCTCGATCGTGAAGACATGGTCATCGTCGCCTCCTTGCAGTGCACACATACTTCATGCAACAACGTAAAACTCTTGATCATGCACCGAGTCCGTCGTCGCACCGGTCACCGGTCCATGTCGTGGGAGTTAATCGTCAGATCGACGACCCCGTTGCTCTCCATCTCCTCGATGAGCAGCCTCGTGACATCGAAGTAATGCTTGTAATGCTTGTTCCGGAAACACGCTCAAACTCGTCAGAAGAGTGTGAGGGCACGTGGATGGGTTGCGCGCTACCTTCAGTAGAAAACTGACAGGTCGTTGCAACGCATGAGTGTTTTGGCACAGGATCACAGGCTCTCCAGGTAGCACAGTATTGTATGCCTGACCACAAAGCCTACAAAGCGCACCCTGAGGACGTCAACCTCAGTGTTAGTGCTGGAGTGGAAAAGCACCATGACGAACTCATAGTCAGAGCAGCCAACAGGCAGGCACTCCGTCAGACCACTTTCTTCCAAGTGTGGCCGGGTAGCGGGGCAGTACTTCAAACAGTGCGTTACGGTGGCATCCTCCGCTTGGCGCAGGGGGCACCGAGGCAAGGCTACAATATTTTTGCAGGTCCGGCGATCCTGCAACCAGCTGCAGCGGCCACAAGCCCGTGAGGCGAACGAAGGCCCACAGTTGAACAGCACCCCACAAACTAAACGGAGCCGTCCGAAGCAGCCCAGCCCAACCCTGATCAAGCCGCAGGGGACACAAATCAGACTAGCAGACCCCCAGGCTTGGAAGGTCCTTAGCGGCGGCTGTTTGGAACTCTTTGTTGTCCAAACCAATGAAAAAGGGTGCCACCACATGCCTTTTGTAAGCTGCCAAAATACTCTTCCGGATCGATTTGTCCATTCTGGCTGCAAGCACTTCTTCCTGATTGCAAACTCCAGAATCTTGCAATAGCGGCAAGTCCCCATGTTGTCTTCGGAGATCCTGCACCGCATGCAGCCATGTGCCAGACACCAACGTCTGGGCAAGGGCTGTCATACGAGCAACGGGATGCTCAGGAGGCAGCAGGTGGATTTTGGCCAAATAGACAAAAGCGCGGATCTTTGCCTTTGACGCAAGCCGGAGGCTCCATCCCACCGTTGCCACTGCCAAGACACCCCTAATAGCCGTACCAGCCTTATCTGCCAGGATGGATTTAGCCCAAGACGCTTGCAGTGTGTTAAGTTTCCCATAGATGTCCGGCACAAGAGGTAGCAGTTCAGCAGCATATAACATCACCGGCTCGATGCGCTCGATGACAGCAATGGAAAGTACTGGCGGCGGAAAACCTGCTTGGCCTGCCACGCCTTTAAGTTCGGTGAACAAGCCCTGCCCGGCGCGACATATGAAATCGGCCCTGGCTTTGAAGGAAAAATCTCTTTCCAATTGGACTCCTAACAGCTTGTAGTTCTCACACATAATGCTGCGAAGCGGCACATCTGGGGCACTGAAGCACGGCATGATAGCAGTCTTCGTAGGCCCCATATTGAACTGAGCTTTAACAGCAGTAGCGTAGGCCTGCAAACCCTCCGTAGCGGCATGGCAGACAGTAACTTCAGACGCAAAAGAAGCAACCACATCATCCACAAACAGTAGGGCCCCCAGTGGGGAGTGACCAAGGAGCTCCACCACATGCTGGCGCTCACTGACATCACGAAGGCGAGCAATTTCATGAATGGCTACTCTTCTGCAGAACGCGAGGTCAACACCCTCATCGCGGAGCGAGCGCAATCTCAAAACAACTTGAGGCGCAGAATAGCAAGGGCTCAATCTGCATCGAAGTCCCAATGATATTTTGTTGTTTAGCAAACTAAACCCATGCCAAGAAACTTCATGGTCGAGATCTCGGCATCTTTCAACCGCCGGCCCTCCGACGTCTCGAACACAACAGGATCGCCGTCGCTCACGAGCACCCTTGAGCGGGCCTGCCAGCATGGGTTTAGGGAAACCAGGAATCAATTTGAGCTTCGGGTTTTATGGTTTAGGGTTTTGTTTGTAATATTTTCAAGTAGGATCATGATTTCTCAGGATGACAATAAAGTGGTGAACCCTAGCAGCTTGACTTTTGCCTGCCCCAAGATTCTCGCACCTTTCAAGGTTTGGGATTTCTAGATACGGCCTTTGAGGGGCCTTTGAGGGTTTTTGGTTTAGGGTGTTCAAGGTTGCTTCATATACATGTGGGTATATACGGTGTGGGGTTCAGGGATTTGGACTCCAGGCTTTTAGCTTGTCAATTGTGTGACTTCAAGATCACAGCAGAGACCAGCCGAGCGCTTTTTGTCACGTCACAGGCCATCACTGTCATCTGGGAACAGACATGCATGCCTGTGACTCGGAAGCTTCGGCGCCCTGGGCTGTGGTCCTTCATAATAATAAGCTGAGTCTCAGTGTAGGTTGTATTATTGCATTGGTCACATCCGAAGCAGAACCAAAGCAGCGGCAAATTTCTCAAGATACCGAGGCGGGAATAGAGCTGATACCATTCTAGCAACGTGGGCTCTGATTCATTGCACCACGGCAATCGTACATACGGATCTTTCAGCCAGCGTACTTGCCGATGGGACTCCTCAAGTATTGTGAAGGAAGCCCAAGCAAACTTGGGAGCATCAGCCGGTAGCAGGTAAGACCACAGCCCCCGTCCGAATTTGGACAAGCGCAGAAGCCGATGCACAGCCAAGCAGCAAGACGACCTGAGCTAGTGCCCCAGCACACTTTGTGCATCCTTCTTGCGAGGATGCGAAAACCCCAGAGCCAGCCCTAGTACTAGTATTAGTACTACTGGCAGTAGTAGTCGTAGTGGTAGTAGTAGTTGTAGTAGTAGTAGTAGTAGCAGTAGCAGCAGTAGTAGCAGTAGTAGTAGTAGTAGCAGTAGTAATAGTAGCAGAAGGAGTAGGAGTAGGAGTAGGAGTAGGAGTAGGGGTGGGAGTGGGAGTGGGAGTGGGAGTAGGAGTAGGAGTAGGAGTAGGAGTAGTAGAGTAGTAGAGTAGTAGCAGAAGTAGTAGTAGTAGTAGTAGTAGTAGTAGTAGTAGTAGTAGTAGTAAAAGACCAGAAGATCTCATCGACTCCAAAACCCAACCCCAAAATCCTGGAACCTGGAAGTTAACCCCCAGCACGGCAGGCCCATTTATACAAGCGATGATCCAGCCGAGAACCCAGATCTACGGGCAGCGACAGAGAGACAACGTTCGGGGTTTAGTTTCGAAGCTAGGCAGTATGGATCACTATTGTGTAGCACACGGTCGTGCCGTTGTAGCGGATCCTACTGTGCTCGCTCAATAGTCAAGTATGAAACAGCCGGGTCTATTGCCATTATCATAACTAGAAAATAATATTGAGCCCTATGCTTAGTTGTGGACATTAGAACAGCAAGAGCCTGCTAATGTTATCCTTTATGCAGGATTAGATAGCAAGAAACGGTCCAAGCCATCTTATTGTTCTTCATGGGAATGACGTCTGCGGGTTGCGGCTTAATTTCTGAAAGTGTCTATCAATCGGGCCTTCATGGCCTTGCAATCCTTCTCGGCAAGCTTGTACTGATCGGCGTGCTCTGCGATGCCGAAGCAGTTGTACTCACGGAATGCCGCCTCCATCGGGTCCTCCTTGTTCGGCCCGAACAGCTCAGGCGTATCCTCGATTTGCGCCGGAGACGGAAGCACAGGAAGGGATCTGTTGATTCAGAGGACATTCAGTTTTATGATGCCCTCTAGTCTCCGTTACCATCTGCTGGGCTCTCTGATGGAACCTCAAAGCCATCTGCAAGATGTTCTTGCGTTGTCTGTCAGCCGCCTGCTGACAGCTGCATGTTCCTGTAGCTGTACTCGTGGCTAAGCCGGGGCGTGTAGATCACTTTGATGTAGAGGACGTTCAGGAGCCACCTCGCTAGTCATTAATAATAGTAAACCGACTTTAGTAGTATTATTATTATTAACACGGCACGGCTGTATAAGGCTGGAACGATGTCATGAGAAAAGGTATTCGATTTGAGGACAATTTGGGAACCATGGGGATTCGGGCGGCGACTTCTGGACCGGACTGGGTTTGGGATTTGGTTCCCCGCGTAGTAGGAAATCGACGTGGTTTCGGTCCCGCATACTAGCTACCCAGGAGAAATCGACGTGGTTTCGGCTCCCGTTGACTGCCGACCCCTGGAAAATCGACGTGGTTTGGGCCAAACCAAGTCGATTTCCCTGTCTGTGGAGCAACATGGAGCAGTAACACTAAGATCATTCAATTCCAGCCTTCTCAAAGCAAGTCGAAAACGGAAGGCCTATCCAAGGATTGAAAATCGACGTGGTTTGGTCCAAACCAAGTCGATTTCATTATGTGAACCGGCCACCAAGTCAATTTGCCTAGTCTTCGGGACCGTTTTGTGTTGAGTAGCCTTTTCCATTGTGTCAGGGCTTCACATAAAGAATTCGATGTGGTTTGGTCCAAACCAAGTCGATATTGAAAGTGCTTTTCAGAGGTTTGAAACCGACTTGCTTTGGATCCGTGTGCGATGCCAGAACATGAACAGAATCCTAA